ATATATATATTTATTTTTATTGCGAATGACTGATTCCTTGCCGGAAAACGATGCTTACCATTTTATCGCTGTGCGAAGAAAATTCGCACAGAGATACCGCGAAATTTGAAAAGGAGGATGAAAGATAGGGTGAAACTGGTGAGATCGCGTATCTTTCGCGATGATGGCACTCAGACTTGCCGTGAAGAGTCAGCAGTCGTTATCGAGGCGCAAAAGAGGAAAGCAATACCTGTTGCATACGTCAGTGATTCCTCTTCCGGCACGAAAACTTTGAATATTGAGGAACGCCTTGTTACTAGCGAAGCTATTTTTTTCCCCCTCAAGAAAATCTATTGGAAACGATATTTATTCTCCTGTTCAGGTTACCTCAATTTTTTGTTACTGTTTTAAATCTTGAATCGTCGTTTTAAATATTATACTATTCCTATATTTAAAACTTATTATATTTGCATATATATTTTTTCCACATTATTTCTTACATTCTTATATTTAACTAAAAAATTTTTTATTTAAACATATATTTTTCCTTATTATATAAATTAATTATTTTGCGAATAAATTGAGCAATTATTAATATTATCTTAATAATTAAAAGACTGGAGATAAATTTTGAATTATTAAAAGTACAAAACTACATTGAAAAATATATTGATGATAACGCGTTAAGATACTATTTATTCTAAAAAATAATATATTTACAAACAATTAACTATATGTAGCAAATTGTGTTTTATATAAATTCGCTCCGTGTCATTTTTTTAGTCATTACCTTCGCGATATATTATTTCAAACGTCATATAATGAAAGTTTTGCAGCGCTATGTATAATCTTAATCGAATATGTTTATTATAAGACTTAGCATATATAAAAATGTATATGAGAAAATCTCGGGTATATGTATGTCTCGAGATGCGGATAGGTGTGTAAGGAAGGGATGGAATAGGAACTAAGGGCGGTGGGCGCCGTCGAAGCAGCGGTTATCTCGGCAATTAATATGATTGAGGAGACATCTCTCACGTCTACGTAATATCTAGCAATGGCCCAAGTTCTGATTGCTTTCCCCGTTCTACCTACGCTTTGCCTTGCTATCTCGAGTGCCATAACCCTTGCGCGCTTCCTCGCTCCTTCCACGGTGTCCCGAGTTAACGAAGCTGAGTTACGACGCGGCGGGTGCTCTAGTCACGAGGTCATGGCTTTTTAACCCAGTTTTAGGGCCATCCATCCCGAAAGAATATCTTATTTTCATCGTCCTCCCCTCCCCTTCGATTTTTAACAACTTTGGATATTATTAGTGTCTAAAGTTGCATGAGAAGTAGGATTCTTTCTGCAGTTGATGTAATCGGTATCTTTGATAACATAGAATTTCCCATTGTGCGAAAATATATCACCTGCAAAATGCCAGATAAAATGAAAATTATACAAAGATAGCGGGATGGAAAATATTAGTAGAGATTAGAGACAGTCACTTGATTGATTGGTAAATTATTTAGTCAATTTAGTTTCATCTGAATTTGAAGCGGAAGATATTTGTGTATGAAAAAGTGCTTAGCGTAGAAAAGTCTCTAGAATAGTATTAAGATATCTTCAGTTGTCTTCGAGTAAAAAACTTGCGGGGGGTCAGGACGATACGACGTGGATCACGACGTCTCATAAGAAGAACTTTGCGAGGAACGGTTGGGTAGATGGGTACTTAACAGAAACTTTCGGTGTAAATGTTCTCGAGATATAGAAACTGATCGCAAACAATGGTACATTTCGAGATACAACGCAGGATTTTCTTCAACAATTCTTCGGGGACCTTACCGCTCGCTAAGTCGTGCAATCCAAGGGAACGAGTTCCGCGTCGCTGACTTCGCTCAGAATTTCAAGAAGAGTAGGGCGGAATTTTCGAATGAAAATCGCTGTAGAAACGAAGGCTGCGAGTCCTGTTCCGCAAGAGTATCTGTAAGCCTTTAGCAGAAACAAAAACCACCTTCCTTTCAAGATGGTCCTTTCTGGAAGTAATGAGTCGTCACACTGCGTGATAATTACGAATCCTAAAGCAACACGACGGAATCTTCAAAATTGATTGTGAGCCTCGAGTATTCGTAACGGTAACATCTAAAGCATACCAAAAATCCTCGAGAAAGAACTAAGAACCGCGTGGCAAGAATTGAACTCTCGTGCGGGCGAGGATACTTAACGGGGGAAGTTGGCGCGGATCAGGTCGACGGCGATGGGGAGGTTTTGTATATTGCGCGCGCGAGAGAGATTCAGCGCGAGAGGAGCCGAATGAGAAAAGCCAAGAGATCGAGACGACCGAGAGGGTGGAAACGTGTAAGGGCACGCGCGCGGAGGCGCGCGGAGGGTGGGCCGGGAACGTGAGGAGGATGGGGGGAGAACGACGACCATCACACTCAAAGCGGTACGTGACACACCGGCTATGGTTCTTATCTGCCGGCCCCGTTTTCCGTCCCCGCGGTGCCACGGATTCCACGGGGTTCTCGTGATAATCCGAACATTCCGTCCTCCCTCCACGTTTGCGAGTCTCGACCTCCGCCTCCGCCTCCCCGTCCCTGCCACCTTCCGTCGCTTCCTACGGCATCTCTTTCCTCCGCCGCTGCCGCCGTTTCTGCCGCTCGACGTGCGCCTCCACCCCCGTCGCTACCTAGCAGCCAGCCTCCGGGCGTCGGCTTGTATACCTTATAACCGGTATGTGACGTTATAATCGCGGGCGTGTGCTTTCCCTCGTACGGACGCATAGACGTCGAACGTGTGCGCGTGTATCACTCGTGGAGGGTTTCGTCGCGTCGCGTCGCGTCGCGTCGCGTCGCGTCGCGTCGCGCCACGCCACGTCGCCGTCTCCTCCGGTCGCATAGCGTTTTACGTCTAGATTGTGCGAGCGAGCGAAATCACGCGCGTGCATGCCGCACACGTGTGCGTCTGTGACGGAGCAGCGGCGCAGTTTGCGCGACTGCGTCACGGCCGGCTCGTAAACTTGGCAGCTCGGAATCAAACGACTCACCCTCATCGGGCACGCCGGCTGTATTCCTATAATGCCCGCGGGGTCGTCGATGCCACGTGATAAGTTCACCTCGGGGTCGCGGGATGAATACGTGCGGGATCTTTGCGTGGAACGCCTCGTTCCCGCTACGAAAGTTTTCCTCGCTTCGCGAACGAACGCTTGTCGTCGTCGCTGTCGTCGTGGCGACTGAACGACGACGAGCGAAAATTATGGACGCGACAATGGCCGTTAGGTCCTCCTGTTAGGTACTCGTTTCATGGATAACTGATGGAATTTTGGTCACGCGGCCTGCACCGTCGTAAATAATACGGCGTAGTGGAAAGCAATTCGGGAACTCCCGTCTCTCTTCCCAAAGCTCCCGAACGCTGCTAGCCTTCGGTCGGTTCCAAAGTTACCCTCATGCAATTGATTATTAATTACCCCGGAATTAGAACAACTGATGTCATTCTGAGAAAGATGTTGCTACTTGCAAATATGTAATGTTATTTTCTTTCTCCATTTTTCACACATAATATTATAATGATTTTTTTAATGTTTTAAAATATTGAATAAACGTTTATTAGTACAGAAAATTGAATGTTAATAGTTAAAGGATCTTATATCTTGTTTTGTTATTTATAAGTATTGACGAATATTAATCACCATTATCGAGTAAGGTTACCATAAACAGTTGATATTTGGAACATTTGGAACATATGGCTAGTGATAAGGCTAACTTTTTCTCTTTTTGAAAGTTTGCTTTTCAAAAATACTTCCATAAAATTAATATATTTATTATACGTTAAAAGTGCCAAATTTCTTGTGGAACAGAAATATATTCAGCTTTGTAAACATAAGAGATGAAATATGTTTCTAAAATTTTAGCATAAATTTTTTAATTATCATTTTTAAATAAAATAAAAGATAATTTGATTGAAATGAAGATAATTTTAAATATTAATTCTAGAACAAAATTATTTTTCTCTCATTTACAGTGTTTCTAAATAATTTAAATAATTCATAAAAGCAGATTGTAATTTCAGAATAATATTTAAAAAATTAGAGAATTTATGAAGACAAATCATAATTTCAAAAAATAATGTAAAAAGTAAAAAACAAATACTTAGAAATTATATTGTCTTCATCATCAATCAAAGATTACTACATATGAAACAAAAACGTAAGAAGTTAATGTATCATCTTTCAATATTTTATATGTTTACGTAATAAAAAAATGATGAAGTAGTATTTGAACTCTTTAACCTTTTTTTTGTTCCTCTCATTCACATGTTTAATGATCCTCTTTTTTTCCTCTCTGATTCATGTTTTTAATGATCCTCATTATGATTGTAATTCTAGAATTTACGTAATTTATACAAGCTAGAAAAAATTTTTATTTCTTATTATATTTATTATTTATATTTTATTTTTTGACAAATATATAACAATAAAGATTAAAAATATAATATCATAAATCACACAAAAATTATATTTAAATTTAATAAATTTGACCTGTATAAGTTGCTTCTTGATTGTCAAGATTTACAGTTCTTTTCATAAAAATGATAATAATTTATACGGAATCATATTCATGTATATATGTGTGTGAAAAATCATATTTGTTTTTGTTAATACATAAATTACTCAACAAATTTTTATCGCAGAATATGTATAAAATAAAATTGTACAAAAAATTAATTATTATTTTCTGTTTTATGCTAACAATGTAGTACATGAAATTATTTAGTATAGAAATTATTTATATAAACTTCTTAAGATTTTTCATACTGCATATTCTAAGAACTATTTACAATTTCTCTTTAAGGTGACATATTTCTAAATAAACAAGTTATCTATATACTTTTTTCGGAAGAGTCATAAAAGTATGATATATTTTCCATCATTAAACTAGCTTAGTTCTTAAAGCTTAATTCTCTTTTTTATCGGTTTTATATTTGCATTTATGCATGTTATCCGGTTTTATAATATTGCAAAGACCTTGAGAGTTAAGATTATATAAAGCGTTCCTCTGATTGAACTCTGATAATTGCAAATATACATCGAGATAAAAATGTTGTTTTACATACTAAGTATATTCAGTGTTATAACATTCGGATTATCAGCAAGCCCTACGCTTCGTAAGTTTTTTTAAAAAATTTTTAATAATATTATTGTATATCTGTGCCAAATTTTAATATCGCTACCGTTTATTTTACACAGGTAAACAGTTCATTATACATAATCAAAATATCAAATTACATAAAATAGAAACATAATAATTATTTCAAATAAGAAAAATATCAATCTTTATTAATTTATTTATTATAATTCATTATTTTTTTCTTGTATGTTTACTTTCGTATTTTTCTTAGCGAATAGTTTTATCATATTCTTATCATGAGTGGTAAACATTGTAAAAATAAACTATGAAACATTATTTATACATTTAAAAAAAGAATAAAAAGGAATCATTTTTTATCGTAATATGAGCATTTGACACTACGTGTATATTCTGCAAAAAATGATTATTTTGTATATTATATGTTATATTATATTTTTTCTTTACAATCTATAAATTTTAACTTTTACTATTACTTAATTTTATTCTATTTCTATTTTTACTCAGATCTAATTACCTGCAAGCGAGACTCAGCTAATTATTCCACTTGTTTAAAACATGCTTTAGAAGAGGCATGGCCACGATTTACTAAAGGTGTTCTTTTTGAAATATATAAAAATTTCATAAATTTATTAAAGTTAAAATTTTGTTTAAAATAAGAAGATTAAGATACATAAGTATAGAAAATTAAGATACAGAAATATAGATAGTATAGAAAAGTAATATCATATAAGTAATCAAATTATTTTAAAATGTAAGTATTGACATTAATTTATTCACTGGCAGGAATTCCAGAAATAGGCTTTCCGACTTTAGATCCATTATTTTACAAATATGTCAAAGTTTCAATTGATACAGGCGAGATACATGCAGAAATAATTTTCACAAATGTTAGTGGCTCTGGTTTAGCAGAAGCTCGTTTTTCTGATATAAGAGCGCACTTTCTTGATGACGATGTTTTCCGTTTAGAAATTGATGTATATGTACCAAAGTTATATGCGTCGGGTTTTGTAAAAGCGAGGGGTACTTTAAGTTCATTCGTACTTAGTGGTGGAGGTATAGTAATAAATTTACATATTTACATATTTACATATTTACATGTAAATTGTATGTTTACCATGAGAAAAAGAATATATATATATGTATATATATTCTTTTTTCATGGTAAACATATTTATATTTACCATAAAAATTAACTAAATTAATTAATAATACATAAAAGGATGCTTTTTATTTAAAAATCTAAATTGACACAAACGTTAATCAATTTTTCTTGGCATTCAAATTATAAGGAATAACAAGGATATTCGAGTAACAAGGACGAAACGATTTATATCGACTAAATGAAAAGCACCCAAACTAAGTGCACACAAATGACAAAAAAACAGAGCACATTTCCTAAAAAGATTTAATAAAACTTGAATTTTGTTACATATTCATTATAAGTTAATTAAAATAACTATTATATTTATCGTAAATTTATCATAATATACATTATATATATCCAAATTATAAAATAATAACTATTAATTTTATAGTGTAGAAAAAATGATTGTATACACACACACACACACACACACACACACACACACACACTATTGTGCGCGCGCGCGTGTGTGTGTACAATCTATTTTTTTACACTATAAATTTATAGTTATTATTTTATAATTATGATTTTCTTAAAAAGATTACATAATTGTTGTTTTATTAAATTATTATTATTTTTAAAAAAACATTAACATTATTTACATTATAATTTATGTAACAGGTTATTATAATGTGACTGCGGAAGATGTCTCAGGTCCATGGGATTTAATAGGGCATGTAGTAAATGATACATGGATTGTAGAATCTTTTCGTGCAGTTCCCTCACTTCAAAAACTCAAAGTACAATCCGACGATTTGTTCGATGGTAATAAAGAGCTTAGTAAGTATTATAATAATTTTAACTATATCATAATTCTTTGCTATTTTATACGCCTGCATTATCTGATTAAAGACATAAACTTAAATAACATTTAAAATATATAAATTAGGATATTTTTATGAAAATTTATTAAAATAATTAATTAAGTAAAAATTAATAACTTATGTACATATTATATAATTGATTAAAAAAATTTTTAGAAATTAGAGTAAGATACGCTAATAAAAAATATTTGTAATTGATAAATTGATAAATTGAAATTTCATTTTTTGCAAAAAAATTTATTTAAAAGTCTTTAAATTGTAGGAAATAAATTTATAAGAATTTTTATGCCATTATGTGCGTATTATAATAATGCGTATTATAATAATGAAATTAAATCAATTACTAATTAAAAAAGGAAAAAGTTAGAAATTTATTACTTCACAAAATTTGTTAAAATTTTAATTCTTATTATTTCTATTTTACTATTTTTTGCAAATATAAGATTATAATATAAAATTGATACATAAGTAATATATTAATATAATAATATATTTATATAATAATATGTTTATTTTTTCCTAAATGTTATATATACTATATATGTATACATACATATAAAATATATTTTTATATGTCAATTTTTATTTCTAGATAATCTTGTCTTAACTTTTGTAAACGAGTATTGGCCATCGTTATATCGAGTGTTGTTGCCAATAGCAGTCAAAGAATGGAATCCATGGTTTACTAGCATTGCCAATACTTTTTTCTCAAAAGTTTCCTTTTCAGAGCTATTTCCATAAAATTGATATGAATTTATTATATATTAAGAAATATTAACAAAACATAGTAGCTGTCTTAAGTAATATAAAATCTAATTTATATAAAAAGCAACTTTAAAACTTTATATATTATATATTGTATGATATAAACAGAAAAAAATGAATGAGAAGATATATTTTTACGTATGAATGCATAACATGTCACTAAATTATTTATTTTACCAATTTCTTTTTTAACTTAAAAAAACTATGACTATATTTGAAGATAAAAAGAATATCAAATTACATCTTTATAAGAAATGCCATAAAGATGAATACGCATGTATTAATCATATCTATTCATCGTACTTTCTTCTTTTCGTAAGGTTTATTTAATCATAAAAAGAAAAGTCACGTAATACTTTACTTGTTCAACATACTCTTATATTCCAACATATATCAAACAATTCTTAATTTTTTAATTGTAATAGAAAATTGAAATCTTCTTTGAATATAACTCCTTGTTCCATATATATTGAAATCTTTGTATCTTCAGAGTCGGAAAAATAGACATAGTACTTGTGTGTGATGATAGTAAAATACCACAATCTAAAGAAGAAATAAAAAACAACGGAATTTGCTGCGAACAAAAATCAGAAGGAGAAAAATAAAATACGCTTTATCAATAATGCGAGAAGAATTGTTTCGCATTATAAATTCTTTCTAAGTTTTCTAAGAATATTCATAATAAAATATAAACTTTTAGGAAAGACCGTGCTAAGCATCTTGAGTCTATTATTTTGAATTCACTTATAGTGCACAACCGGCTAAATTTCGCTTTTTTTCATGCATCAGTAAATAAATCTATGATTCAGCGAACAAAATTTTGTAGCTTTGATCACAAGTATCTTCAATCAAAGTCAATTAAAAAACCAATATATATATATTTAGCACAAATATTTTCAACTCAACAATATATATAAATAAATAATAGTTATTATAAAAATATATATACATATATATATTATATATAATATATATATATATATTTATATATTTATTTATTTATTTATTATATATATTTATTTATTTCTTTATTTATAATAAATTGAGAAAAATTTTATATGGACAATTACCACTTTTCGAAAATAATCGATAAAGAATATGAATAATAGTACAATTAATTCAAATTTTGCTTAAAAGTTATACGTCTTTATTCCAAAACAAGAAAATTTATATTAATATCTTTTATTATTATCTTTGATTATATTTATATCTTCCTCTTTCTCTTAATCTAATCAAATTTGTACTAAAACATTTATATATAGAATGAGATAATATTTTTATTAATCCACAATGATATTGAATCTCACATTATCAATATTATCTGCTAAAAACAT